AGGAATAAGGCCATTGGAAGGGCCGCAGTCAACACTTGTCATGACAGTGTCAGAATAGCAAATAGGCTTAAGGACACAGGCAATGCTAGTGGATTCCAGGTAATTTTGGACTTTTTGTGATGTACTACAATTTCCCTTCCTCCTCTCTTTTCCATGTTTTAGAGTTTAGAAATTACCTATTTATTTTTTCCCCACCACCAAGAGATAATTATATCTATCACTTTTCTTACTCTCCTACTAATATTACCTCTGTTCCACAGGTATCAGCTTCCTTTTCTCTCAGATTGTCTCATTCGCATCTAAAGAGATTTGGAAAATTGTTCTCTAGTTCCACTCCAGCTGGAAGTTCATTGTTTCTGTTTTAGATATAAATAAGGGCTTTTTTTCCCCCTGAAGTGTTTACTTTCTAAAAAAACTGTACTAGCTGATATAATAATTTCCTTAACCTATAAATGTCTTGTTTTATCATGTCCCTTAAAAGTTCAGATAGCTTTCATCCTGACCTTCACACTGACACCTGCCCAATGCACATAGTTTGGTCTGCCTCTCCTTTCCATTACACAATTTATGCCAACACTACAAAGGCTAAAAGGAACTTGTTACACTGTTCTGTACATAATAAAAGCTAGCTATAAGTACTAATCAACAAGTACTGTGTTTGATATTGTCTGTATATAATGAATACTACTCAGTCACATTCGAATTAAAAAGTACAAAACGTTCTTTCTCATTGTTTAATAGAATTGCAAGGGATGTACCACTACAAAGCAAACAGGAAACATTTATTTAAGTTCTAGACAGAAAGTGTCAAAAAACCAAACCCTTAACTGGTAGTAGCAGAAACTTAAGAGAAATTCTTCATTATGCTTCTGACTTTTCTCAAGTGTTCTGCTTTTTTTTACGAGACATTCTCAACAGCTGTGAAGTTCCTTGATGTCTCAGAAGTTGCATTATGCTTAAGTATCTTGGACAAATAATTCATTCCACCTAGCAGGAGACCACAGATTGTATTAGTCATTTGACAGTACCACTACTTGGATTTCCACACGGAAGCTACAGATGTTTGCTGACCTTAGGTGAAAGGAGGGGTTGGCCTTCAGGAAATACAGCGAGGTTCCCAGTCCAGCCCAATCCCTTTCTGGAATACAGGGATGCCTTTATCGTGGGAAGTACATGGGTCTATGTGTGAACAGAAGCAGGACAGGAAGGGGAAGCACTACTCCTTTTATCCTCTTTAAACAAAACAAAACAAAACAAAAAACCTCTAGAATTAAACCTTGAAGCATCAGGATGCAGATGACCTACAGGATGTTCTAGGATTTCTGTTCCTAAATGGCTTGTTATCATTTCTGGGTGCTGGGGGGTGGTGGTGGTGTAAAAAGGTCAGGGAGCATTAACCTTTGCCACAGACATCCAATTCCGCCATCCTCCGCGCAGACCGGG